ATAACCAGCCGAGCAAAGAAGATTATACAGAAAGAAAAATAAAACCAAAATACTATTAAAATAAAAAATGTTGGAAAAGTGAGAAAAAGATAATACGAATTTACAGTAACTTGCAAGATCAAAAAAAAAGGGAAAATAAGCAGAAGATGGAGTGCAGGAGAGATAAATTTGGAGTGGAAAGAATAATACTAGGATGAATGGAAGAGAAACATAAGGGATTGAGAGATATAAAAATAATAAGAATTGAAAAATAAAATGTCACTTAAAACACAAGATAAAATCAATCAACCAACAACAGCCACAAAAACCAAACCAAACCAAACTAAGCAAAAAAAAACCTCTTGTTGGTTTCTAACTGTCCAGACCAGTTTTTCTGATCTTGCTGGCTTCAGCTGGCTGCAGGACCTTTGAAATGCTTATCACTCTTCCCAGCCAAATCTCAGCAAGTCTCTCAGGTACCCTGGGCACTCCTGAGCACACTCGCTCTCTGGAGCTCACTGCTGCATTCTTTCGGACTCTGGGGTCCCTGCAGGGTTCCAGCTCTATGGTCTCAGGAAGCACCCGCGACATTTTGGGATTCACTATGCCCTCTCTGGGAATCGTAAAAGGGCATGCCCATCCACCAAATTTTTGAGTTTTGGGCTTGAGGAATGCCCTAAGCGCCACGTCCCTTCCAGGTTCACCGCACGAGTCAGGATTCCCGTTGGAGCGCGCACTTCCACAGTTCCGCACTGCAGGCTCCAGAAACCTGAGAACACCTGTGCCCTTTCCTGGATCAGGGCTGTGATCTCTAGGTTTTTCACCAATCCACACTCCCATCGGGCTAGGGGTGCGGGCACTCTTCCAGGCCGCCCCTGGTCGTGCCGGCTGGAGGCACTCACTTCTCCCCCGGCTCTGGGTGGGTGTTCACAGACCCTGGGTGATTTTTTCCCCCCAGTCCAACTGGCCTCTCTGTGCCTTCAAGCAACAAGGTCTCCCCTGGTGTTGCTCAACCCCCGTATTTGGGGGAGGGAGCAGCGACTCCCCTCTCCCAGGAGCCCTGAGGCAGACCCGGGAGCACTGGGCCTGGGGACTGCAAACCCCTGGTCCCAGAGCTGATCCCTGGGTCCCTTTTGTCCTGAAGCAGTTTCCTTACCATCTGGTTTTTCAATGATCGCAATAATTTCTGATGTCCTGCTTTCAAAAATGATTCGGTAACCTAGACCACTTGCTCTGTTTCTCCACCAATCCGTGAGTTTCCCTCCTCTTCACTGAAGCCGAGAAACACGCTGCCTAGAGTAGAGCCGACATCCTATCCTCCTTTTTTCTATAAAACAGAATCAAATTATCCCAGGAGTGGTTACTATTTAAATCTCTTATAAAGTTCATATTACTCAGCTCTTCTAGCAGAGTAAAGAAGCAACATTTAGTTCCTGGGTCAAAAGACTCACTGGAAGATAAACTTCATGCATCTTTGTGTTTGTCCCTGGACAACCCCAAGTAGGCTGAAATTTTCTTGTCTAGATGGAACTAGAATCTTCCATACAGCCATCCTATGTATAGCGAGTCTCATGAGCAAAACCCTTCAATAGTAGGGCAGTTGAGGACTCCCTCTTCTGCCCATAGGAGTGAATGTTATCCTCACAAAGCTTGGGGGCTTCACATAAATCCTTATCTTCTTCCTCTGACTCTCTCACCTTTACAGTTGATCAAGAACATTTAGTAGAGAAACTTAGACATCATTTTACTGAACTCCTAACTTTATAGATGAATGGGCTAAGTAAGACTAAAAGCGTAAGTGCCTTGCTCAGTCTTCAAAAGCAGAACTGGAACCAGAATCTAGTCTCCTGAGTTCTATTTGTTTTGCCAGAGCATCCCCACCCTGTCTCCTCTTCTCCCCACCCAAATGTAGGAAGAAAAGTAATCAGAACTAGGAATTTAACTGGAAATGCTTAGCTGGTTGTTCAACTTCTTTGAAATAATAAGTTCCTGAATATGGTAGATACTTTTTAAGCCTAATGTGTAATAGTGCAGGTTGGTAAACTTATTGTAGTTCAATTTTTTTACTAATATTCATTATTTTTATTAAGAGCAATATGATTGAATATGTCTCATGTTTGAAAATCTAGATTTAATTATTTGCGATATGTGAATTAGAAGATCTGGTTCTTTTTTTTTAAGTATACTTTTTTGATTATGCTATTACAGTTTTCCCAATTTTTCCCCCTTTATCCCCCTTCTGCCCTGTACCCCCCAACACTCCAGCATTCTCCCCTCCTTAGTTCTCCTTAGTTCGTGTCCATGGGTTGTACATTATTGTAGTTGAATTTTAAATTGTATAGAAAATAAGTCAAAGAAGGTACCTACTACCCTGCACATAGTAGGTATTTAGGTTACACTTCATAACATGAAAATTGCATTGCTAGATTTTTTGTTTTGTCTTTTATCCAAGGCTCCTTATGCCCTAGAAAAATTTTTTTCCTGGATAGACATTAAAGGAAAAAAAAGCCCTGGCTGGGTGGCTCAGTTGCTTGGTTGGAACATTGTCCCATACACCAAAATGTTGAGAGTTTGGTTCCCTGTCAGGACACATACTAGGTGGTGGGTATTTCTTTCTCTCTCCTTTCTTCTCTCTCTAAAAATAACATGTTCTCAGGTGAGGAGTTAAGGAAAAAAAAGTTGCATTTTCAAATAAATGTGGGAAATGTTCCAATCTATATTCCATCTCTCAGGAAGTCAGTACTTACATTTGCATAGTAAAGATGTTGACAGTCCTTCACTCGAGAGTCATGGGTACCTTTGCTGAATTAATTATTTCCAGTAATTATCTGATCTTGTAAACTCCCCCACCCCTTCTATTAAAACCCTCAAGGACTAGTTTAAGAGAACACACTTGGAGGAATTCTGCTCTCAACCATTAGCTTGCAGAGTTAAACAAGGTAGATAAGAAACCGAAGTACCACATTTACAATAGTCATTGACACAGAGAAAGTTGGCTGTTTTTTAAGAATCACATGATAATTCAAAAGCATAGTCAGGAAATATTTCCAAATCCTATTGTAAAAAACAAAGGATTTTCTGTAAACAATCTACAAATCGTTTACCTTAAAAATATGATCACTCCTTTCAATATTTTTTCAGAATTAAAAGTTTACTCTTTAATCTCCTACTTTAAAATCAAAATATTTCAGACTATATAGCAATATAAACATCATTGTTTCTTTTGCACTGCTTTTCCCATACCATATGGCAAATATTCTTGCACACTGGTTATGGTACTCACCTAAGTTATAAACATCAAGGACTGGTTTCAAGTGATGAGGTTTCCTGCTGTTAACACTTGGTAGTAGTTGATGCAGTTATATTCCAACTCTATTTATACACACACACTTGGATTAAGCAACACTGAATGACAGCATTTGATGAACTGGCCAATTGAGCCAGTTGAGTAGGTTAGAAGAGTGGGAGCATATCTTGTTCCTACAGGCAAATTCTAAACAGAGCTTTTACATTATTTTAGCTGGAGTACTTTCAACGAGTTCTTAGTTAATTATTAATTTTTATTAAACCTCTATGACATGGACTCTAGTTAGTATTTTAGCTTAATATAGAGCATATAAAGGCACAGATTGTTTAATTGCCTTTCTCTTTTCTACAAAGTTGATAACTTTTAAAGTATTTTTTCTATTTGTAAAAATGATGTACATGTACTTATAAAATGTGTAAATGACAGGGAAGCATATATGTTATAGATCCTGACATTTTTTTAGCGTAGAAGTACTATGCATATCGACTTTTTATGAAAAAGTGGAATCACACTGCAATATTTTGTAAGCTGCCTTCTCTAATTTTTTAATTAACATTACATCATAAACACTTAACATGTCAGAAATATTCTTTTATAGGAAGCATTATTCTATTAATAGTATTCAATCATATAAATATACATAACTAATCTTTTATTGATTAACACTTTAGCCATTTCCAGTTTTTCCTTTCTTTTCTTTTTCTAGTATCACCAATGTTGCAACTGACAGCTGTGTGTGTATGCATTGTGATTCTTGGTAAATCTTTAAAATTTGTTGGTAGTATAAATTCCTAGCTGTGGAATCACTGGATCAAACAGTATGTGTGTCTTCTATTTTAATAGATATTACCCAATTGACTTCTGGTAATTTGTATGAATTTATAACTTTTTCAACAATCAAGGTTCATGCCTTTTTCTCTATTGCCTTAGCAGAAATGTCTCATAGCTTCAAATTTTATTCTTCTTATTACTTAGTGAGTTGAGCATCTTTTTTAAACCATGTTTGTTGTCAATTTCCATAAATTATTGATGTATGTGAACTCTTTGTAAATTAAAAAATAAAACCCCAGTTGTGTTGTGTGTTGAAAAATTTTCCCCACTACCTATTATCTTTGGAATCTGTTAATGGCATTTCTTTCTCATACATACATTTTCAAATATTATGTGCTTAAATTTAATCAATATTTTCTTGTAGAACTTCTGGGTTTTGTGTCCTGCTTCAAAAGAACTCCCTTCCTCCAAGATTACAAAAAACTTTATTATGCATTTTCTAAGACTTTTATAGTTATTAATACCTAAATGTTTGATTCACAATTACCTTTAGTATAAAGAATAAGTAAGAGATTTTTTTTCCCCCAAGTGCTATGCCAACCACATATGTAACCAAATTTATATAGGGAACACCACGCAGAGGGTTGTCAGTGCAAAAGTAAGAAGTTTGAATTTTATCCAATAGCTAGCAGGAACCTTTTGAAAGTTTGTAAAGCAAGTGAAATATCATAAAAATGTGTATTGTGAATGTAATTTTATGGCTGTGTGAAGGACCATGTGAAGGAAGAAAAGAAAGGAAAGAGGAAAGAAGGCTAGTTAGGAGGTCAATTAAAATAGCCTGGCCAAAATCAGAGAGGACAGATCTAAAGTAAGTTAGTGAGACTAGTAAGGAGGTATTGAAGGTAATGAGTGCTGCAGGCATTTCATACAGCCCTCGTCTTACCCGAAAAGGATTGGGCCGAAGCAGGTCTGCCTCCGGCCGGCTGGTAGTATGTAGGTTCTTGACTTTCTGCAGAAAAGATTCACAACATGAGTCCAAGTGATTTTGAGAGTGTGTTTCCTAAAGCCAAGGACAGTGAAACAAGAAAGGGCTTAAGACAGAAGAAGAAACAGGAGAGAACCTAGGCAGGGCTATTTTGGTTCACTGAGAAATAAAAGTCACAGTGAAAGAAGTAAGCCAAGGTGGGGCTGCTGTCAGCTCAAAGGAAAGTCAGAGAAAAGGGGCCTTGGAAACAGGTTCAGGAGGTTAGTCCAGGACAAGCTGTCACTGCCCATTGCTCCCCTGGTTTCAAGTCTCATGGGGTCTGTTAGAGTTTAGGAGATACAAGCCTGTGAGGGAAGAAAATGGGAAATGGAAAGGTACAGTTATCCTCCTGAGGGGCACAGTGCCTTTCATCTTGATGGTTTTAAAGCCTGGGAGTTTAGGGGAGACCTTAAGGGAGGCTCTCAATACAACATTCATCAGCTTTATGCTAATAAACTAAAATGAGATTTACTCCCTTAATTTCATCCATCCTTGGGTATAGTTGACACCAATGGCACTAAATGGATTTTTGTTATCTATCTTTCTGAATAAGGTGACTTAAATTATTTATCCTCTGGTTGAGAAGCATAGATCTTTTACTCTGGTGTCCTTGGTAAGAGAAGACAGAATTTTGGGATTTACTAGATGTCTCTAAATGGCTTAGCCATTTAACTATCTGTCTCAGTTTGCCAATTCCACTTGTTTTGGCTTATTAGCCTGCCTCACTAGAAATTAGCATGAGAAAGGGTCCCAAAGATATCTGTTGCAGCTCCACTAAGTTACACAGTTCCTAGTGGCTAGGTAAGATTAGAATCCAACTTTCACTACCAGTTCAGGGTTGTGTCTTCCAGAGAGCCTCCACAGCTCTTTTTGGATATGGGTGAATCAGCTCTGGACTGGGGAAGATGAGAGATGAAGGGAAGTGAAAGTGGTGACAGTGGTTCAGGGTAGGAAACTCCAGTGTGGGGTTCATTGGCAGGGATAGTTAATGAGTGTGATGTGGGGCAGGTGGTGTTTGAAGTTCTTACAGCACAATTATATGGAAATTTCAGCAGAGAGCTGGAACTGAGCTATGGTTGGGGGAGGCCAAAATTAGCCATGAGGATTTGGTCTTCAGTTCTGAAAGCATAGGAGTTGATGTGGGAATAAATAAGATTGTCTCGACTGGAAGTGGGGCAGGAAGAGGAAGTTTTGTCAACATAGAACTATGAGGAATCTTACATTTAAGGAGCAAGAAACGAGTTAGTAAAGAAGACCAGGGAAAAATATCTCATATTATGAAGGCTAAGGGAGATCTCAAAATGGAACATTTGGTGATGAGCATGACAGAGACCCAGCTGGAGACTAGAGACCTTGGAGAGAGCCCTTTAAGCATAGTGGACTCTCCAAGAAGTTGCAGTGGACTGCATAGTATGAAGAAAAAGGAAATAAGACTTTTTAAACAAGCATAATAGTGAAAGGAAAACAAAGACCTTTTCAAGAAGTATAGTAGTGAAGTGGTATCTCAACAGAGTATATGTGGAAGAGAAGATGCTGCTTACTAGCTAGGTGATCTTGTGCAAATTAGTCTCTGAAGCCTCAGTTTCTTCATAATGATGATTTTCCTCAGAGGTTGAACTCATTGGGTTTGTGAGAATTATATGATAAGGTATATTTTAAGCACTTAGCCCAGTAGCTGGCATGGAGTGGGAACTTAATACATGTTTTTATTATTGTTGTTAATATTGAAGGTTTTTTTTTATTGTGATGTGAGACTGTTGTGAATGTTTTAATGCAAAGAGAAAGGAACCAATGAAAAGGAGAAAACTGATATAATGAAGTCGTACAGGAGATAAAGAAAGAGGGGAAATAACTCTAGTGAAAGAGTCAGCTTTGAAAGGGAGGAAGCAACCGTGACCAGCATGGCTCAATTGGTTGGGCTCAATTTTCTGGGACAGTTCCCAGAAAACAAAGGGTCGCTGTTTTGATTTCCAGTCAGGGCACGTGCATGGGTTTTGGATTCAGGATGCACAGGAGAGGCAACTGAATGATGTTTCCCACATTGGATGTTTTTCTCCCTCTTTTCACCTCTCTCTAAAAATAAATGAATAAAATGTTTAAAAAAATTTTAAAAAAGAAAAGTAAGAAGCATACATCTTTTTGTAGGAGAGGAAGAAAAGGGAAAGAATGAGAGAGAGGTGAAATTTCAAGGTCTAGAAAAATGAACTTGAGGGTCTTATAAGATGCCTGAATCTTCTTCATAAAATAGATTGTGAGAAAAGTTTATAGAGATTAAGAGAAATACACATGAGTTTGACTTTTTGAGAATAAGTGGGGAAAGCCTGAAATAGCTTCTTGAAGAATGCATAAAAAATTAACTAAGGGCCCTGGCTAGGTGACTCAGTTGGTTGGAGCATCATCCTGTACACGAAAAGGTTGAAAGTTCGATTCCAGGTCAGGACACATATTTAGGTTGCAGGTTCAATCCTTGATCAGGGAGCATGTGGAAGGCAACCTATTGATGTTTCTCTCTCATGTCAATGTTTTTCTTTCTCTCTCCCCTCCTCCACTTTCCTCTCTCTCTAAAAACCAATTTAAAAATATATCTTTGGGTGAGGATTAAAAAAATTAAGAAATGGAGAGCTACTCCATTGAGTTTCAGTTTAGTTTGATGAAAAAAGTTTTAGAGGTGGTTGGTCAACAATATGAAGTACTTCATGTCACCGCACTGTACACTTAAAAATGGTTAATATGATAAATTTTAATTTTTATTTTACTACAATTTTGACCAACTGGAAAATAATTTATTGAATCACTAACCTTCTCTTATATGTCAGATAATGCTTCTTTTAAAATACTGATACCCATAAGAATGCTAAGTTGGTTGTTGGTCTTTCTTTCTTTACTGTGAATTTTAGTGAATTTTAAAACAAATTCATTTAATTAATCAGACTGGTTTCCTGTGAAGTCTTATTAATACATACTTTCAAAGATATTTTTATTAAAAATACATCTTCTTATGGACAATTTGGATAATATAGAAAATTGGAACCCCTATACGGAGCCCCCGTACAGAGCCCCCGTACAGAGATTTTTACCCGGTGTGCCACAAGGACTTTAAAAACATGCGTTACCTAAATACTGAGTCAGGGGCACTGACCTCTTTTCTCTTAGATTGTGAGGTAAAGAAATGATAACAGCCAACACAGCAATAGCCTTCCAGTGTGAATCAATAAAAATCATACCTGTTTTTTGTCAGCTCAGGAAAAAAAATTTTTTGGTGTGCCGCAGAATTGTAGTAATTATCTTATGCATGTCATGAGGTGAAAAAGGTTGAAAATCGCCACCCTAATAAGTAGTTTAGTGCTTTGAAAAGAAACATGACTCATAACATTGTAAGGAAATCCTAACCTCCCTGAGATCCTACAGTCACAAACGATGCTGGATTTGTTCTTGCTTGTACCCCAGCACAGAGTGCTGTCTTATAATAACCACAATAAGAAACCAACACGTGTCTTATGCTGGGCTAGAGGCTGGAGATACATAGCTAATTGTTTCCTGTCCTCCTAGAGTTTATTCCCTTTGGGGGAGATAGATATAGATATTGAGCAAATAATCATACAGATAAATCATTTATGAACAGTGATAAATAAGAATTAAGCTGGTAAAAAAAGATAAAGTAGAGCAGTACTAAGGTAGCATGGTCATAGAAGGTGGCATTTAAGCTGTATCAAAGGGTGTATAAAGAACATACGGAAGGGAAGGGGCAGAGAGTGACTTCTGGGCAGAGAAAAGCTCGAGGGAAAAGGTCCTGACAGAACTTATAATGTTTAGAAGGGGAACTAAAAGGGTCAGTGTAGCTGGAGCAGAGTGGGCAATGAGGAGAGTATAATGTAATGAAGGTGGAGATGAAGGGGAGGTGGGGGAGGCTGCATCCTGGAGGCTAGGAGAAGAAGCTTGGATTTTAATGAAAGTGCAATGGGAATTCGAAGAAGGGTTTTAAGTAATATGGGAGGTTTTTAAAAGAGTGCTCTGGCTGCCATGTGAGGAATATTTGGAGGGTGGTAAGAGGGAAGAAATAAAACCATCAAGGAGTCTACATTAATTCAAGTTCTAAATAATGGTGTTGTTGGTGATAGCAATGACAGCATTTTGGGCCTCTTCTGCAGGTCATTTGCTTTATATACATTATCTCTAATTGTCACCATGACCTTGGTATTTGAATATGATTGTCTCTATTTTTTAGGTAAAATTAAATGTTTTGCAAAAGGCCACATAGCTAATAAGTAGCAAAGCTACCATCTGAACTCAAGATATCTGGTTTTTTCAATTACTTCATGGGAGCCATTGGAAGAATGAGATGGAATAGAATTCCTTGGCCTTAAATTTCATTCATTGCCTTGTTGAGGTTGTGTATTCTTGCAGGGGAAAAGGATCTATGAGGGTATGGTAGGATCATAAAGAACTGTGTGGGTACTAAAAATTTACTAGAAGAAGGCAGTACCTCCAAACTGGTCCTGGCTGGTAGGAGGGAGAGGAAATGGGGTATGTGACTAAGCTTGGCAATACTATATGACTTCATTCTGGGAGATTTTTCAGGGAACAGAAAGAAGAGGGTGAGAGGGGAGGGTGCTCACACCGATCCTTTGCTTCCTTGGGTATAGTAGTTTCACTTCTTTCTTGGGGGAGATCAGAATAAGTGATATGGATGAAGAGGAGGTTGAAGTTTGGGCAGCAATGAAATGCCACTCTCCTTACCCAAACTGAATCACTTCCTGTGCCCCCACTCTTCAATGCTCTGAAAGTTCCTATGTGTCACTAACCTGGACCCAGGACAGAACATTCTCCTAGGAAGGGGAAACACTGAAAAAACAAATCTGGCAAATCAATCTATGATGCAAGCCCTCCTTGTGAGAGGAGGGTATGAATTTTTAGAGAAAATTCCTTTTACATCTTCAAGGTGAAAAACACTTAGTATTTGTAAAGCACTCCTATGCTTTTCCATT